ACAAAGAAGTCAGAGAAGAAAAAGAGAAAGTGAAGGAGTTGGAACAGGGGTGGGGGAGCAAGGAGAGATGGGTGGAATGAGGGAGGGGAGCCCTATGTGCCCAGACTGGAGAAGGGGGAGAGCAGGCAGGGCCTCCATTGTACAGGCACAAAGGAGCCATATGCTGGGCAGCATAAGACAATGTGTGTGTGGTGGGGGAGGGTATGGGGGGGAAGCTAAGTGGCTGAGAGCAGACCCCCTCCACACACTCTACCCTGAAACCCCTGGGGCCCCACCGTCTGCTTTGCCACTGGAAAAAGGAGGGGGCAAGGGAGCAGTGGGGGCAAGGAAGGCAAGTACCTAATGGCTGGCACTTTGGAACCAGGAGCCTGTGCGTGACTTAGGGAGGGAAAAAGGCCTGAGATACAAAGTGGAAGTGCTCAAGGTGAAGGCAAGACTGGGGGAGGATGAGGAAGGACAAGGCCTGAAAGTTTCTTCTCTTTTGCTGCTCTTGCTTATCTCCTGCCTACCTGCCAGCCTCAAAGCCTAGATTAGGAGATGAAGCGGAGACAAAGAACCTGTCTCCTGCTGCTCCCGTTGACAGTCCCTCTTCTCCCCCCAAGCCCCTTCCTCTAACTCCTCATCTCTTCTCTCCCCACAACTTTTCCTACCTCCACATCACTCAGCCCCTCTTTCCTAACTTCTGCATCTCCCCTATTTCCCCACCTCCCTCATTTCCACAGCCTCCAAACCCTGGCTTCCTCTTTCTCTAGCCTTGGGGTTTCCCATTTCCATAATCCCTGACCTCTGTCTCCCCACCACACTTTGTCCCTTGCTTCTTCCCCCTACCCCTGCTTCTCTCTCCTCCTCCTCCTCCTCCTCTCATCCTGCTGAGCAGAGCGGCAGCCGAAGCCAATTGATTATCCAAAGAAATTTGGAGCGAAAGGGAGAACAGCTGCAGCTCAGCCCCCCTTCTCACTGCCCCTGGTCCTAGGGGAGCCCCAAGGGGAGGAGCCCAGTAACCCCTTCAGCACCCCAGCCTGGGGTGGAAAGAGGTAAAGGAGAGGAGCAATATCGCTGAATAAAGAGCTGTGTGATTTAGTGGAAAGACCATTGGACTTACAGGCAGGAAGACCTGGGTCTATGTTGAAGCTCGACTTTTTACTAGCAGTATGATCTTGGGCAAACTGTTTAATCTCCCCAGGCCTCAGTTTCCTTATCTATGAACTGGGGATAACAATGTGT